TAATTATTATCTTTATAAAAAAATTATATTATTAAACCAAATATAAATTACTTCGTTATTGTAAATAAATTAAATTATAAAAAAATGACACAAAAAATGAGAAATTTCAAATAGTTAATTTGATACTAATATCAATATATTTTTGTCAAATTTTTATGATATTTTTAAACATATATTCTATTCAAAAATAAAAACATCATCGCTTTCTCAAAATCACATAAAGCCATATTATAACATCGACTGAGATAAAGAATAAAATGAAATATTAAAATCACGATGTATCTCGATGCATTACGCGAATACACTTCTAGTATATATATATATATGTGTGTGTGTGTGTGTGTGTGTGTTTGTTTGTGGAGGCGGATTACGTTGAAAACCGCTTAATTCTTAAAAACCATGCAAACCAATTTCGACTCATAGAAAAATTCCGTTTTTTAATTAATTTTAATCAGTAAGGGTTTAATAGTCATTTCCATTGTTTTTTGATTAATATTGGAAGGTAATAAATTTTGTTAATTTTAGAAACATAAGAAATGAAACATTTAATATGATAGGAGTTAAATCTTTTTCTTAATTTAGTTTTTTTCACAATAAATATGTTTTATTTATTTTCACGATTATACTGAATAAAAAATGAATTTTAAAATAAGTTATTGTTTGATCTTATCAACAATTGTTGATGAAATTGTTTCAATTCTTTTTTTTATGATCTTGTTCCCTTAATGTTTATGAATTTGTATGGTATGATAGATACAGTAACTTAATGAAACGTGTTTACATATCAAAACTTTTATGGATGAAATTGTTGCATAATTTATTAGAATACAAAATATTTTCTATTTGAAAAAAAGGCACTAATTTAATTGAAAAAAGGGCACTAATTTAATGAAACTTGTTCAAATTTCGAAAATTTTATGGATGAAATTGATGCATAATATAATTTTTTTAGATAATCTTGTTTCCTTGTTTCCTATAAGTTTTGAAACGTAAACAATATTAAATAGTTTGACCATAAAAATGATTAATGGAAACAAACACTGAAAACATAAAAATGCATGACAATAGTTGTTGTTTCATATAATGTGTAAAGTGTTATAGTTGTGAAACAGATTCATATAATGGTTATTATAAGGGTAGATATATTAATGTTAAGAAAATGGTGTGTATGGAAGCAAACAGTGAAACCATTTCATAGTAAGATTGAAACGGATCCATTTATTGAAAACATGAAAATGACAGATGTTTCCTCTAGCAATAGATTGATTTGTGTAGTGATGAAACGGTGAAACCATTTTATTCATGAAATGTAATGGGAAAAAAAATTCTGTTTTATTATTCAAAAGGTTTCGTTATGTTAACTTGATTACAATGTGTTTTATGTTTCAAAGTTTTTTACGATATACTTAATTTCATCGGTTCTTACTTTGATTTATTTTTATGATGGATGTTATTTTGTTTATAATATTTGAACATAAAATGAAGATATTTTTAGCAAACCTATAATTTTCAAGATTATTCTAACATTTTTTGTTAGAATATTTGGAAGTATAAGATGATATATATAGTTTTTAAATCAATGATTTTGTTTCATTAATATTAGGATATACATGATCTTGTTGCCTCGGTTATAGAATCATACGTTTTACATTTTTGCCCTTTTTTCAATTAAAAAATAAACTTTTATTTTTTTTATTTCCTAATATAAACTAATCTAATCTTGACCATTGATCAAAAAAATGGATGGATGAGATTGATTTGTAAGTTTTTCACAAATGAGAGTGGTTTTCATTTGATTCCTCATATATATATAACTATCATCATAATTAATGAATCCTATTCATCTTTCATTAATATTCAAATCATAATAAATAAACTCTAATCATTTCTATAACTATCTCAATTAATTGAGTTGCATTGGTTGTACAAATGAACATGGTTGTATATGAAATATACTCTCTCTCTCTCTCTCTCTCTATATATATATATATATATATATATATATATAGGGCCCATTCAAGAGAGATCTGAGTTGTTTGTGGTAACTGTGAGAACCAATTTCAACCAATCATTTT